TGGAGGGTTGTAATTATTCGGTCAATTGAGAAGTATGCGTAAGAGAAGTCTTTCGAATGAGAGCTGGTACCATGGTCCCAGATTTCACTCAAAGTGTCGGGAATGAGACAAAAATTCTCTACTGGGGGCCCAAGATAGAACCAGTGTTCTGTTTCTATGTCTTCTGAGGCTTGACTGGCATGTTCGAAGTATACGAGATGCGGATGTGACCTTTCTCAGTCAATTACGCCACCTGGATGAGTCGTTACTCGAATGGAAAGAGAACATTACACATGTACAACGAGACTGGCTCATGACTTCGAGCGTATTGACTCGTTATCTATAAGTCTGTAAGTTGAATCAAGTGAGAAGTGTGTTATGGTTTTTCTTGGAAAACGTGAGCTCGCTTTGATGGCATAAGTTACTGACTATGCAATGACATAGCTCTTACATCCCCACTGTATGTTTTGCGCTTATCTAGCACTTCAACTTAAGATATCTCACTTCTTGTCAGGAACGACTTCTTGTCAGGGATGTTCATTCCAGGGTGGTGAACACTTGCAAAAAATCTACAGAGATGATGAATTGTAGGAATCCTCAGTAATCATGAAAAGCAAACCGAAGAGCAGGAAATGCCCAGAACAGTGGAGCGCTCCCACTTGGTCTTCATTCTAAGGCGGACTGTACCAAGAAACCCATCAACATATCCGTTTTAGAGGCAAGCCCAATGACTGGCCGAGACGCCTACAGGCAGTGCTATGCCGTCAGTCATCATGTAACAAGAAAATCATCTCATGGATCTATAGGTGCATTGAGGCGAAATAATGGTACACATGTCACGATACTCGTGTTCTTGTAAAAGTTCAGTAGGTATCGCTTAAATGCAAAGACACAAGCAAATGACATTGGGAACTGCTTGATACAATTTCTAGGCTTATCTCATAAGCTTCTGATAAATTGAATCTCCTTAGTCCGTGATAAACCATTCGCTTTCACTCCTCTGCAGACCTGAACCAGTTCTGGGCCCTGAATTGTCAGCAGGTGACTGTCACGAGGAAAGCGTAAGCCGGCTCTCCATCGAAAAGTCCAAGATCTTCTTTGCAGTTGGAAAAACCGCTCTTGCCCGATTAGTTGTCTTACCGCTTCAACTGATGGGAAAGAACACGCAGCTAGGTACCTGCCATGATTCCAGTGATGTTCTCAGGAGGCGGGAGGGAGAGACATTCTCTTGACTTGCTAGTTTGAACTTGATTTCCCCTTGCGTCACTGACGATTTGCTCATCACACATTGTTCACAATTTCAGGGCTCACCGGGCTATCGATGGTACTTACTTCCACCTGGTATTCTGACATATCCAAAGTGCCTTCCCAACAACAGGGCATCAGTCATGGGCTATCGGCTTCTACATGCCGAGCAGCAATCCTTTGATCCTGAGGTTCGTCACTAGGCAATGAACGGTGTAGATCAAGTAGCATTGGGCAAGCAAGAAAACCAACGACTTACACAAGTCAATGGTTGAGTCGGATGTAGTTCCTCCCGGAGCACGGCATATGTGGCAGCAGCAACAGAGGAGAGCACGCATCCAACATGGCATCCGCAACCCCTGCCCAGCAAGATTCAACCATGGGTACCGACATGCGGCATCGCAGCCATCACGGAACACAACGTCTGGCACTTGCGGGGAAAGAACACCGGTCAAGCTCCGTCAAAGGACGGCGCGGGTGCGCCGTTGATCTGTGGGTAGCCGGATGCCCCTTCCCAGCTCACCGTCTGCCTTATTTGACGGCACGACTTGCCCTTCCGGATACCGAAGCCACGGCCAGGACGGCAGGCAGGGTGCAGATTGCTCCTCCTACGGCGAATGTCCTGCCTCATGTATGGTCCACAGAGTGCCAGCTCCTGCAAATCCGTTGTATTCCCATCAAATCCCCCACCCCATCGGCTGCCCTACCATATGTCGTCTTCATCACACAACATCCCAACAGCATAAGGTAGCCTGCGTCCAGCTTGTCCCACGCACCAAGTCAAGGTATGTTACTTCAGCCATGCAAGAAACCCCCATTCAGAAAGCCAAAGTACCTGATACACTTAGCAACCGCTCTCACAAATGCTTTATCTTTTCTCCTTCTCCCGCCCACTCTCTTCTGCGATTCGTCCATGCCACGCGTCCCTTGGATCCCACTAACAAGACCAAAGTTACCAAACCAACCGCCGCCATCACGCGCGCCAGATTAGAGAAGAGCTAATGCCGAGCGAGACTTAAGCACCGCCCATCAGGTCCAGCTGGGTCGCATCTTATACAACCCCCCACCCCAAAAAGCGAGCGCGAGAAAAAGACAACGCATTGTCTGACCCAACCAGCAAGAAACGACGGCGCATCTCGAGTATCCCAGCGCGAAGGAGGAACCCGCATGACAGGCCTCCCTCCTGCTGCCTGCTGCCGACCTACCCGCTTCCACCGCCGTCTTGGCAAATGCTTGACTCAATGTCGGGTTCTTGTCCTGGGACCGCCCAAGGCCTCCATCCAGGTCTTCCAGCTCGTCTTTTCCTCCGGCTCATCGGACCCGATTAAGGATGCCCGTTTTCGGACCGACAGAGAGACGGTGTGAAATGCTGTAGCCACCTGCCAGGCGGCCAACTCTCCAAAAGGTGGGCTCCGATTCCAGCCACCGTCACCATCCTCAAACCGGATTCTCAGATGGGGGTCAAACCCCGGTATATCCGTGTTTGCCGTCAGAAGGAAGAAGATGAGGAGAGGGGGGCGCCAGCAGGCTCAGCAAGCCCCGAGGCATAACGAGGCCGACTTGGCGCGGCTCACGCTCGCCACAAGAACACCGGAGGAATGACGTCTCCGCGCCGTCGCGGGCATGGTCCTGCACCTGGAAAGCAGCACACAAGTACGCGGAAATGATCCACACACCGCCGCCGCCCGCGCAAAGTCCCGGCCATGATGGGCAAGGGGAAATACCCGTTGCCAAGACTGTCATCAGTCTTCGGTCCCGCGTCTCTCGATCTCGCAGTGTGTGACGGTCATGGACTAAGATGGACGTCCTGGGGTAGTTGGCATTTCTAGTCACCCACAACACTACAGCACATGCATTCTTGATTCCCTCTCTTATGCGGCGCTATAATAACCTGACCGCTGAAGTGGAATGAAGAAGGAGGATGACGGGGTCACTCGGTGCAGCAACTAAGAAGCGCCGCTTCATCTCTCGCTGTTCCATCGCCCAACTCACGCGCAACACTCGGGAAGGGGCGGCCATCGATCGTTGCTGAATTCTATATTTCCCGCATCAGACCGACCCCTTGAAGCGCATGCATAATCGCGCATGGCCTCTCTTTGCCAGTCGGTTGCGGTCGCGGCCGTCCCAGCGTGGTATTGACGAAAGCCATCAGCACCACATGCTGCTACTGCTGCTACAATATCAACAGTGAAATAAACTAACTATCCAAGACTAGGAATCCGAGGAGGGGCACCGGGAGAAAGGGAAGGGAGGGGGCGTGTACCCACACTAACTACAGACAAACCAGACACACGGAAAACCCTCCACCCAACGAGAGAATGCCGCGGAAAGAGACGCCGTCGAATCACTCTTGCTAGCTGTGAGACTGAAAACCTGAGACGTGGGATGCACACAGGGCTGGGCTGACGGGCTTTGTCGGCCATCGGCTGGTCGTAACGTAGCTCTACTTCAGTCCTCAGCCAGTCGCCCATTTCCATTTCCCTAGCAGCCCGCAGGTTAGCAGCAATCACTTGCCGAGGGGTCGGGTCGTCGTCGCCCGTCCCAGGATTCCCAAACAGGCTTTCCGCGGCGACCTAGGCCAGGAGATGACGGTACGGTACCTCCAGCCATCCGGGCAGGCCATCATACCTAACCTCGAAAAGGGACGAGGATATCGAGAAAAAGGCGGGGAAAATCAAGATTCATTGGATCCGCCAGCCGGCTGATTGGGTCGCATACACGTTCGCATACAACATGTTTTCCCAGCCCGGCTGATTCCAGCAGCTTGGCGACGGATCGGTGACGGAGGTGACGGTCGTTGCAAGAGAAGGAAATGTTGTGCTTGGATTTTTGCGTTTCCTTGCGCTGGGTACCGTTTCATTCACCCCTCCCCGCCTCTTCCTCAGCTGAGCCCGCTGCTGCTGCTGACCTTTCTCCCTTGCCCAGCCTGGTTTCCGAGTGTACTTCCCCCACGACATTGGCTGCGGCTGTTGGTTGTCTGTGCCGCCGGGGATGAAGGGGGAGGATGAGATCAAGTACGTCAGGAAGAAGTATGATGATTATGCTTCGAGGTACTCCGTATTTCTAGAGACATTGCGCATCTGCGGGGGGAGGAATGAGAAGTTCGCCTGAGTTTGGTCCCATCCTGTCCCCCCTCCTCCGCGTCGTATCGAGACAACACTTGGCGAATCCTTCGATGAAAGTCAGAGAGTCTTGGTCTTGGTCTTGGTCTCATGGACAGGAGAGGTATACACGGCCAAAATCATCTTCCTTCGATTTCACACGTAAGGGTAGGTAAACCACACACACACACATTCAAGTTAACTTTTGTTTGAATTGTTAAACTGCAAGGAGCTTCTTTCTAGGAGTGCTTTTGATCTATCCCGTGACTGACTGTCAAAGAAAGTATCCCCCCATCTCTCTTATCCGTTGTGCTTCCCCCTTGGGACATTGTCCCTCAATCCCTTGTAGTTCCATTCCATGCACTACGCGGGCGCACATCAACATTGAACTTCGCTTGTCTCTGGCGCGCGCATAGTATCAAAGAAGGTAATTTGATTATGTACGGCGATGCACCACCCCTGGGCCTCTTCTAGAGCCAGAGATGGACGTTCTTGTTTCTGCGTGTGTGCGTGCATACACACAAAAATCTTCTTTGTAAACTCGCAACACGGCATATCGTAACCGGTGTTGCTTTCCCCAGGTAATTATGGGTTGTATTCAAACACAGATCAAGGCCAATTCCTTTCCACTCCTTGTTGGGCCCTTTTCCTGGAGCCTTTGTGAACGCCAATAGTAAAAGTAAAAAAGTAAGTCTTTCTGCATGCTCATAAGCTGGAACCGATTCCAAAGGATAGAACCGCAGCTATGCAGAAGAACAAACACGTAATGAGTCGTACAGTCGTGTCCGGGTGCAGTCAATAACCCGACTGGCCCGGCATCTTTCCAAGTGAGTGGCCGTGGCTCTCCAATGGCAGATGGCTATGGCAGAACACCCTCTTGGTGTTAAGCTGTGCACTGCCCTTCTTAGTAGCGTCGATGAGAAGAGCTGGGTCGTCGTAGTTCTCGAGCTGGCAGCACTCGATATTCTTGACCCAGCGATGGTTGGCGATTTCCGAGATGGTCGCACGCTTGGCGGGGTTGGGGTTGAGCATTGAGAGGAGTACACGTCGGAGTGCTGGCGGAGAGACGAATCCATCAAACGCATTGAAGAATGGGTAGTCCGACTCGGTAATGCGCGATCCAGGCTCAGGGTGCTTTGCTTCCCACTTCTGCCATCCCTTGAGCAGCTCAGCATACTGAGGGTTTCCCTTGACCTCAGCCTTACTCCAAATGTTTCCTCCGAAAGTCACGTAAATCATGACAATCGCCGCGCTCCACACATCAAGACCTCGCGGGTCATACTCAGTCTCCTTCAGTAGCACCTCGGGTGCCGTGTACGGCTCGCTGCCACACATGCCAGGCTTGCACAGGCGGATTTCGGCGCACATGCCCTTGCCACACTGGCCGCCAGCTTCTCTGAATCCGGGGTGGTGGCCAGTGAAGACTTCTGAGACACCAAAGTCGGTGATCTTGAGCTTGCTGTCTTTGGTGATAAGAAGGTTCTCGAGCTTGATATCGCGGTGAGCAATACCGTTGCTGTGCAGATAGTTGATTCCCTGGACAAGTTGCTTGAACAGGCAGAGGCGATCAGGAAGTCTCGCCGGATCTTGGAGGTACTTCTTTGCGATCAATCCAAAAAGGTCACCCTCCGAGCAATACTCCATAATGTGGTTCCAACGACCGTGGTCGGTGCATAGCCGGATCGTCTCGACAACGTTGGGATGGTGCAAGCTCTTGGCGATGCTGTACTCAGACTTGATCTTCTTCTCGTACTCTTCCTGCGTCTCCTGCTTTCGCTTGGCTCTGAACTCCTTGACTGCATAGAGCTCGTTGGGGCACCCCTTTCGGCTCATCATAGTGACCTTGGAAGTGGCACCCTTTCCGAGATGTTTGCCATGGCGGCCAAACTTGGATAGGTATTCAAATTCCGCAAGGAGGTCAGCGACATCGACTTGGAAGTCGTCCGGGAGACTCAAGCTCATGCGTCGAGCCTTGACACCGACACCAGCGTCAGGCATCTGAGCCCATGGAGACGATCCCTCCAAGGGAAGAACAGGGTTGTCGGAATGAGGATTGGGTGCAGACGCGAGATGACGGCTCTTCACGCGGCCCTCGAAGCTGCTGGCTCGTCTTCTGCCCAAGACAGGCTTGACCTTCTCGGCGTGCTTTTCCCGTCCGGAGACATTGGCGCCGACGAAGTTGACAGCGCGTCCTCGTAGGTTGAGGCCGGTAGAAGCCCTGTTCTTCTTCTTGAAGTCATCTTGAGTAGGCATGTGCGAAGCCTGCTTGTAGGAAGAAATGGTGTCGACAGGAGAACCTGGTGACGGAGGTGAGTTAGACCTCGTGGTGGTGTGTGACTTGTTCATTGAGAATCGTCTACGATTTGAGGGTGCCGTATCAATCAATGCACTCTCGGAAGAGATGTCGTTGGACTGGTCCAGGGTAAATCCGAGATCTGGTCTGTTTTGGGACGAGTTGGATCGTCGGAAGATGCTGGACATTGTACGCTTAAAGCTTGATGTAGAGCCGCGAGTGGGCCGTCTTGACAAGGGAGTAGGTGGCGGTTCTTGGTCAGCAGCTGATTCGGCTGCAGTTGAAGGGTTAGTAGCAGTGGTAGCTTTCGGTGTGAGGTCTGACTTTGCAGGCGAAACCGAAGGGGTGGGTGCGGTGTCGACCAGGAGAGGCTTTGGAGTGGTCTGCACTTGATGGGTAGCGGTGAGATTGATGTCGTGATGGTCCTGACTAGGGCGGGTGGTAAACTCTTGGGATTGTCTCCCACTGCTAATGGGGGTCACGGGTTCATTCGGAGACTCGCTTTCGGACTCATCGGCTTCTTCGAGGATGGGAGAAGTAAGATCAGTGGGAAATTGACGGGGAGACGAGGACAGGCTACTCGGGTTTTGTTGCTCGGCGGAATGTTGCTTGTCTAGAATCGCAAGCGTTTATTAGCGACGGACGCCTTCAAGGGTGCTGCGGACGGAAACAGGGCGGGTTGGGAACAGCTGCTGAATGACGGAGGTGCAGCCAGGGTGCAATGACCATCAGACGTGTGTGTGAACGTACCTTGGGGGATGGAAGCGGGCTGGGGCACCGCCATGCTGGTGAGGACGGTCGCCATCGCTGTTCGGAGTGTGGCCGGCGGGCACAAGGACGACAGCGGAGGAGGGTGCTCTGATCAAGTATGGGCCAATACGTAATTGGGCCACACACCACCAAGAGAGAACGCTTGGTGCTGGTGCTGGTATTGGTACCAGCTGGTTTTTGGGAGGGCCAAGTCGGTAGGTAGTGTAGTCCGCGGCGTTTCCGAGGGGTCTCCAATTCTTTGGCCTGGGCCTTGACGAACGGAGGGGGGATTTGGTTGGGCGACGCGCGAGTAGTGTGTCCCCCAATTATCGGTCCTGAAGCACCAACGTGAAAGTCGACCTAAGCGATAAGTCGAGTCCAAAGCTGGCGAGGTGGGTTTATTGTAGGAGAAATCGGTAGTCTTGGAGGCCAAAATCCGAAGACGCAAAGGAAAAGGGAAAATAAGAGAGATGGGTTTCCTTGGTCTTTATCCCATTGCTTGAGGCTGCATGCGTTTATTCTGCGTCGGGATGTTGTCCGGCGTTGGTGGATTTCCGTGTCGAATCAGAACCACGACGAGGCTTTTTCTGAATACGGGGGCGACTGCAAAATCAGAATAGGTAGGCTGGCTCTGTTATGCGTGTATACGTCCTTGTTGAGCGGAAGCTGTACGTGTCTGCGCACGCGAGCGTATGCGATTCTTGGTGTAAGGTGTCGGGAGAAGCAAGCAAGCCGAATGTCGGGTCCGGGTCCTTGTCGAAGGAATTCGTCTTGGTATCCGGGTGACTTGCGTAGGGTTTGTGGAAGACTGCAGGTACTAGAAGAGGTATATGTAGAAAAGCAAAGTGAATTGCTGATCAATGTCTTTTTCCTTGGTGAATGTTGTCTTGGTATTGACCAAGGTAGACGTCTGTGATGAGGTAAAAGTTTGAGGTGTTTGAGATGGATATTAGTCGAGTATTAGGTCAGAGGAAGGGTAGAAAGAGAGGAGAAGAGGGCATGAAAATGATTCAGGCGTCCATCGTTCGTCCGTCCTGGTCTTGGGAGGTGGGAAGGCTGCGAGTTTTGAATCGTCTCGCAGGGGAAGATAACTCGCGGGAGTAGGGGGAGGGAACGGGTTCTCGATTTGGATGAAGACAAGCTCGAAGGACCCCGCCGCTGCGCTTAGAGGGGCGTGGGAGTTGGAAAGAGAGAAAAAAAGACGCTCAAGAGAGAGAGCTATTTTCCGCTTCGGCCGGGTGTGGGAGTGGAAGAGAGTACTGTATGAAAGTGGGTGGGCAAAAAGTTGGGTGCACCAAGTGGGAGGACTGGGGACTGTGGACCGGGGTGGGAGAAAGTGAGAGTGGAGGGTCTGCAGTTACAGTTGCAGGTGTACAGGTGCAGACAGGTCAAGGTCTGTCAGGTACGGGGTACGAGAGCGCGGGTGGAAGAAACGCCATGTATCTTTTACTTTTATTGTTTTCTGGCACTCGCTCACCACTCTGCGGCCAGCCCCGGTTGGGAACCTCGAAGAGACAATGTACGGATAATCACAATAGACGGTACTTGGTCCTTTGGTGGTGAGACTGAGAAGGGATACTCCGATACAGTCACAGCAATTGGAAAATGCCATCCAATGGGACGGAGGGGTTCTGGTGGCGGCATGCTTTCTTTCCTGCTGAGGCCTTCTGAGAAAACAGAAACAAAAACGGCAAGTGCACGCAGGCAGAAGGAAGGCAGGCAAGAACAACCCAACGGTTGGCACTTGCCTTCTACATAGTACCAAGTACATGAAAGATGGAAGCCAAGGCAATTTGTCTTGGAAGGCAGGAAGATGCAAGATAGGTAAGGCAGGTAAGTACGGACACCTTCACCTCACGTTTACACTGCTTTCGCTGGGATACATACTCCGTACACACATGGCACTGCGTTAATCTCATCGACGGCATTCTGGGCGATGCAGCAAAATGAAGAGCAACGCTTGGCATCCTCCATCCTCTCGACAAGCGTCAACGGAAGCAACAATAATACAACCTACGCAGCAGTACTCCGTCCACCAACTCTAGCCAAGCCCAAACCACGCCAGCGTCCAATATCCCACGTCCATTCAGCAAGCCGTATTCGCGAGGGTTGCGGCCAAGACGGTGCGCAGCCAAGAAGCGACCATGGACACAGAAGAGCACGATGAGTTACCAGCAAGTTGTCACTCAGTACGCAGTAATCTCTACCTTACCTTACTTTTGCCTACAGATACTCTGTACGCAGTACATACTCCGTACACAACATGGATGATGGGATGGGACCGGAGAGCGCCCTTGAGTGGGGACCGTTTCTCTGGGGGGGCACTTGGGGCTTCCATGCACCTATCTGGGGGACCCACCCGACTGACAAGACACCCTCATCTCACAGATTCTCACCCACCTCGCTCACTCTCATCACTCTCTCACTCTTACTCTCACTCTCACTACAAGGTACTCATTCCCGGTTCAGTTCACCTCATCAGTCTCTCCCACGCTTCTCAAACTTACAGCTACAGGTTACGGTCCCTCATCGGCCCTTGTCACCCAAGGGCCAACACCGACGAGCCCTGCCCTACCCTGCCATCCGGATCCTGTCCACCCCTCCATTCTTGGTCTGGTGCTCTGTGCGTCTAGCTTGCACTGCACCTCAACCCGCGCACCAAAGCACATCAGACGGGACGGCATTCTGTGCCTATCATCGGCTGCTGCACAAGACTGGAGCATCACTCTGCGACTTCGCACCATGCTCCCTCCTCTGCCAGTCGCCCAAGGCCAAGGCTTCACCACCTCGTGGTCCGTACCTGGCCAAGGAGACAAGTGATTGAATTCAGAAACCGCGGATCCTGCCAGGAACACAACCATGAGGTGACCACCAGGGCGAACAAGAATCGCCCGAAGCCGCGGGTCGTGGAACCCGGAAAGAAGCCACAATGGAACATGAAGAAATGTCCAACTACGTGGTTTTTTCTGCTCGACAAGCCGACGGTGTCAAATTGCCAACCATGACAAGCAACGATCAACATGAGCGGGTACGGAGACCGTACGGAAACCAAAGAAACACTAACGCCTCCCAGAAGACTTCCTAGGAGACATCGTCTTAGCCAATCTAGTACGTACACATTGGACATGTATCTGTAACAGCAACTATTTTGACAAACAAGCGTCGGTGTTGGCATTAGCATTCACGGAGTGCCTTGTGTGTATTATTGGCACTGGCGGCGTGGCGCTCGTCACTGACTGACAAGCATTGGCAGGCAACACAAGCAGGCTGGCAGCTTCATTCTCGGCCATCCATGTCTTATTCCACAGTAATTACCATATTGCTAGCGTACGGTTACCAATTCAGAGTATTATCCTCTTATACGTCGCCTACGGCCTGTGGGCCTGAAGTGCCCTGAACTGCTGGGCTTGCTGCGGGTACGGAGTACGGACACTTGAGGAGGGGCGTATTCGTGGGCGCGCCGCCGGCCTCAGCATGCGTCGTGACCACAGTCAATGATCAATCCCAATTGATACAGCACAGCACAGCACAACGCCAGCACCACCACGGGGTTGACAGGCGAGACAAGATCAGAGGACATGAACGGGGGGGCCTTGGAACAGGAGCATGGGGGTTCCAACTCCGACTCGTTCCTTCACAGACGGACGAATGAGACACCGCTGGAGGTTGTGTGGGGTGAATGATGCGATATTTGCTTGGCTGCAAACCGCTGCTCTGCTTCTGTGCGGGAGAACCACCTTTCCACTCAACAGGACTGGTCCAAGTGGTTCCCTTCCTCGTCCCTGCTTTTCTCTGGAACCGCCTATGGCTTGGTCTCTGGAGAAAAGGAAATACAGAATGGGGAAGTTTGCCCTCGCGTATCTGCGTAGCGCCGCAGGAGCCCATCTGGGCCTTCTGTCTTGCTGGTTTTCTCTCCGTGTTTTTCTCTTGTCGTGTGCCTCACTAACCTCCGCCGCCGGTCCCCTCACATCTTGCCCAGCCAACGACGGTGCGGCAATTCATCAGTTATCTGGGAGTTGAGGGCTGAGGCGAATCCAGCGCGAAAGCATTGGCCGCATCCGCTCCAGGTACTTGAATCCACAGCACACGCTACACATAACGGCATCCGCATATGCAATCCACTCTGCACATCCATGCCGAACCCGATAATGACGATGGCACGGATGGGTTCTTTGCTTCCTTTGGGTCGTGGACTCCTGGGGGAAGGGGGGAGGAGCCCATATCGTGACCCTGACCCGCACAATATCCGTATTCCCGTGTTTCTATCCGTGTACGGATATCTATCCACTAAATGGATTATGGGGACTAGAACCAATGAATGGATCAACAGAATGACATTACAATATGACCTAGTCCTGCCGAGGCATCTGGGAGGACGGTCTCCGTTTTCATTTGGATCTTCTTACCTCAGTGGCCTTACCTGAATCTACACTGCAAGACTAATGATGTGGTCATTTGTTGTCCTTGGCTTTCCCTTGGCTGTGACTGACCATTACCATTGACGCCTTCCACCGCCTTGAAGACTCATTGTCATCTACCAACCCAATGTTTCGTCTTACTCATTTCAGGATCAGTGAGACAACTGGAGCACATGCGGAGGTGGAGGAGCGGAATCCGTCAACCTGGCAATGTCTTGTCTTGGCTGACCCTGGTTGACATTGCCATTGCCCCCCCCCCTTTGGGTCGCACCGCAGTCAGAGGCTGTGGACAAATGCGATTGCGGCTGCGGCTGCGGTTTCCACATGGATTTGGATCTCGAAAAATGCCCTGCCTGTGAATTTATGTCTCAAAGGCGCATTTCGCAAGCCTCCAGCTGACGAAGATGAGTGCGAAAGCAGGCGGACACTTTGATTATGGAGTAGCAGCGAGATACACTCAAACACCCAAGTACCGTCTTGCTACTGGTCGAATGCGTTACAAAACAACGTGTCAGAGGCTGCCCGTGAGTCGTGAGCATCGACAAAAGATTCAGCTAGATTTACTCGACCAACTTTACACAGGGCACAGTGGCACGGCGATACAATGGAAGTTCAGTACCTGGGTACCTTAGGGAGTACATGCCCCAGACACGGTACGTAAACGGCAGCGGTACGGCGGTTCGTGCGCTACGAGATGACAGCTGAGCCTGCTGTGGTAAGGAAAGGTTGGCTTCCTTCTTTCTCTCCACTGTTGCGTGAGACTTGAGAGCAGGAAAGAGGAGGCAAGGAATGGAAATATCTCGGCTTGCGTATCGCACACTAACGAGTACTTGCTATCGCGAAAGCAGGAAACAACGAGAAACAAGAATCAGACGGCAGGCGAAGGGTCCACATTCCCCTCCACCCCTTCTGTCATACAGTCATGGGAAGATCCCAGAACGTTTGGAGACCAAAGGCCCTCTTCTTCTACCATGCTCCATTGTTCCAAGCTCTCCATTCGATGGGCTCCTCCAGTTCTGCCCTCCCTCTTCCTCCTAGGCTCCTCCACCTCCACCACTCCGAATCCGCGATTCCGCCCATTGTCGCTGTCACCCACACGCAACCCTTCAATCCAAGAGAAACCCCATCCGTCCAACCAGCCGCAATCCTCCAGGTGGCCCGGTGGGCCTGTCAGGGCTCTTCCTCGGAGCGCTGTTCAGACCGGAGGGGCAGCCACACCGTCACTGGGCACTCGAGACCCAGCAGACAGCAGATCGAATACGGTGAGCGATCCCCTAGGCCCGCTGTGGTGTCGGGACCTCGATGGTCAGTGGTCGAAGCGACGGAGTCTCTCCGATAATAACAGCGCCCCAAAGGGCCGACAGGGCCGACTGGCATCCTGCTCGTCGGCTGCTACGGCGCGAAAACAGAAGGGCCTCTTCCGATCACTCAGCACACCAAACGCTCGGCAGACCCGGCACAACTTGACGCCCTCGCCCTGAGGATACCTACTTGTGTGGTTGTTTATCAGGCACCTTGGTTCGCGTGGTGCCTGACCAAGTACGGATATAGGTACACGAAGCAAGATGAAGCGAAGTCATTGGTCAGATAGTTTCCGAGGAGCGATTGTGTCGCGTCAATCTGTCAGATGCCATGATTTCACTGGAAAGCAGAGGAAATATCGGTGAAGTACCGGTTTTCACCACAGCGGCATTTGCGTCAAAAGCATCACCTTGAAACCCTCTCAGGTTCGCGTACCTATAGCAATACAGGCGACGACAGTCCAGACACTCGAGCGTCCACTAAGGACGCCTTGCATCGTCCATCATCTTGTCACCGCCAGGAACAGTCTAGCACCCGGACGCCACATCCTTGTCAGTGGTTGTTTGGCTGAAGATTCTCGACTACAGACTAGACTTTTCGTTGTCGCTCTCGCTTGTACTGGCACAAGTGACAAGAGCCACCCCGAATCCCGATAGACTTTACCAACCCCCAGATCTGGACGAGCCTTGTTGAAGGGCCGGAAAGTCAATGGAACTCGAAGGGTGCTTCCTGGAATCTCAATCGGTCTCTGTTCGCGTCAAGCTCCTACCGCTCTGCACTTCATCATCATCATCATCATCATCCACTACTTGTCGTCATCTCGGCCTTGGCTTGCTGTCTGGTGTCATGATTCTGCGTCTCGGAAACGACTGCGTTGGGAGGAGGATTCGGACTGCTCTTGAGTCTTGGGTGACCGATCGGCCTTTCTCTCAGGTTACTGCTCTCTCGTAGTCAAGACCGCGTCGAGGGCTACAGGTCCCCAATTGTTTATGGATCTCTATTCGATAAACGCTATCGCGACTTGCTAGGGGTTCCTGGTTTGAAAATAAACGGCCCTAATTTGAACCCTGCGCAAAGCCCCAGCATCTCCGTACACTGTTTGCCTCGAGCCCTCAGGGAGTACAGAGTACGGAGTACTCTAGATACGTACCTTCCCCAGTCCGTCCTCGGAACTCATCTCTCACATCACTCCAAGCATTGCGTCGAATGGCATTCTTCTTGATGTGCTACAGGTGACGGTCACCTGTTGTTATCGGCCGCAAAACAATGCGTCTCGGCTGCGTGATCAGCTCCGAACCGCCACGTGCGATATTGACTGAAGTTGAAGAAGAGGAAACTCGAAAGAAGCCTTGATACCACAAGCGCGTAAAGCGCCATTCTACCAAAAATGGATACCAGCTAGGATCGCTCAACGACTTGCCGACTCTCCGATACTCCAGCCGCCTCCCTAGGACATGGAATATAGACGACAGGGGTATGTATGCTCACGATGCAAGTGCGTCATGCTCCCCAGACCATGGTGGATATCTTCAAGTCGGTCGCACCAATGCCGAGCATTGGAAGCGTCGCCTTGGACGACACATGATATCCAGTACCATCTTCATCTGCTTACCGCCTCGCCTCACCTTTCTCCGAAACGCGATAATCATCCGCTGGCGCTGTTGGCAGGTGCATCATGGCCATTACTCCGGGATAGACACAGTCATGGAGATTTTCACATGATCATGAGGAGACTTTGAACGGGTGTTGAGTTGTCTTACCCAAACAGACGGCAAATTCCTTGGCCTCACCGTTGTTGAGATGACAAGACAGATTGGAGCGGGCTATGCCACCGTCTGATGTTCTACCTCTCGCTCATCACTAGCACGGGCACTGCGCAGCCGCTCTTGGCGGTGCTTCACCACCAATGTGTTTGCTACCACAAAATTACTTCGGAATGGGACCAGACGTTCCAGGAGGTTGTACTCGCCAAAAATCCTCATGTCTTGAGCGCGCTTCGTCACAGCGCCTTGAGCAAATTATACCGAGCGGCGCAACTGCTACTGGTACTGACCTGTAGGAGACTTTGACGCGACAAAAGCTTCTACCCCCGGGATATTGTCAACACGTAAGCTCGCTTGCTCAATAAGCCGAAATAAGGCTGTAAAGATCGTCAGAATTCCCTTGGCAATTGCGAGCAAAGCGTGCGTCGAGCAACTCAATTTCAGCACTGGCGCAGAGCGTAAGCAGTAAACGCTGTATCCAAGCGTAAGGAGTATCGACTCTTGCTTTCTAAGTTTAAGTTGCTCTCTCAATATTTGAGAATGATGCTTTGCAGCATCACGAGCGGATAGCCAGCATGCGGCAACGTCCCTAGAGGCCTTCAAACGCGAGGTATCGTCATGAGTCGAATTGGCTCAAGACCAATATCCGAACGGATACATGCAGACGCTGGTGCGTTGTCTGTGCCCTTTGGCGGCGGCGTGCTCCCGGGATTCTTCAACGGCACCGGGATAAGCATACCCAGATATTGGAACGTATCTAGCTCCAAGCACTGTCTCATTAACTTGGGCTAGCCACTTGTTCAGGATAGTGTTGTTGTTTCACTGGTGGCTGTCATGTATGCATTTGGCGATCGCCATGAACGAGGTTCCGGCCCATGCCGTTGAGTTTTGACAGCATATCAAGCGGGCCACTCTAGCAGCTGATACGCAGCAACATGGCTCAGCCGTACCCTGTGCCTTACATGGAATGGACTCGAGAAGCAACACGGCTCTGGGCACCGCAGGCTCGGCGCGCCTAGTCTAGTGGTCGAGCGGTAGGCATGTTGCGTATGCCAAGCTGCTTGTCGCCCTGCAAACTCATATCCTGTCGGCCGAACTCTGTTTTCGTTGACGGCTCGGTCCCTGGACTAAACTTGACCTACCTTCACAGAATCACAAAAATCGCCTACGGATACTGCGAAGTCAACCACATTGGGAGAGGAACCAAAGATCATCGCCAATGTGGCAGGTTGCCCCCCTCGTCCTGAGGTTGTGTTCCAGGCTTCAAATGGGCTTGCCAACAGCGGCACAAGTACTCAAATCGACCGACTGCCACCCCTTCTGTGTCAATGCAGACTTCGTAGTCACCCGCGTCGTACCCAGCCATCAGTAATGTTCGCTTGGATCGGGATCAAGCAAAGCCGCATCTCATGGGAGGTGAGGGTGTGCTCCAGAGGTTTGATGGCAGTCCTGTTAGCCACGACCTGTTTCAGCAGACATTCAAGACTGGTGTTGTTCCCCCACGCTTGTGGTGACTACTGCACCCCTCAACGAGAGACGGTGAGTGGCTCGCTTGTTACACTACTGCAGGTGGCCCGAAAGAGATGTTCAACACATAGCGAAGTGAGCCAGGCCTTGGCGCTGGTGCTGTTACGCCGTGCGGAGGAGAGGAGTGGATTGTGGGAAAGGGGGAGGACGGACGGATCATGGATCCTGTCAGTTGACCGTACCAACCCGAGAGAGCTCACGTTCTGATCCTCGCGGACGACTTGGCGACCGAGATGCTCCGAAATGAGACCCGGATTCTTGTGTCAGTGGCCGACAGTCCGAGCTGATATGCGCTTCTTAGCCGGCGATGCTTGAGCCGCCAGTGGGCACACGTCTCAAAGAGGCAAAACCGGGCGACTTGAAAGTTGAGAGACGGTTGACGGCCAGAGCGGAACCGGGAGGAACGGACCTCGCAATATTGGAGGGCTGTCTTCCGTCTATTCTTTCATCGAGTAGGTACGTCTTCGTCGGTGTGGTATTTGGACGGATATCAAGACGACGGTGCCTTGCTCGAGCCTCGATGTTTCTAGTGGCTTGTTTGACCCTGCTACACATCGTTGGCTTGGCTGAACTACAAGTCTCTCGCAACTGCCGCTTTTAACCCCCAACTTGCCCCCATCCCTGGGGATGGGAAGTTGTTGGGATGGCGTCGCTGAAACTCAAAAAATGATATTCCTCAGGAGCTCCCAGCGGATTGGACACGGATCTACATACATACGAGGCGGTTGTCGCGTTGAAATACCACCTGGAACAGTGAGCAGCAGGTCTAGACTTGGCCAATGGAAGAGAAGACGCGTCTTGTTCGTGGCTTATTCCATGTCTCGCGCTGGCTCAGGGCGCATCTTACAGTTCTTCTACGGATTACCTAGCACTGCACCTGATACCAGGGGAGTGTATCGACGAAGTTTGGCATGTCAAAATCAGCAAAAGATGTTCACGCCTCGTCTCGAAATGGACAGCCAAGGAGATCTGCCGGGTTATTAATGGGATTATCGATTCCCGACTCCCAACGATTAGTGGTTCTGAATGAAGGGCTGTGCCTTTCAAATTTAGCCCTATCCGACTGCTCTTTGTACAGATACCAATCCATTACCCAAAATATGGGGGTGGGGTCTCCTCATCTTGAGATCTGCCGTATTATCACAGTCTGGTAGTTGAGGCGGAGAAGCTGTGTCGATGCTGGGCTGGAATGGGTTGAGTACCCTATGGGATTTCTGACAGCTGGGGACGTCGCTGGCTTACTAGCCAAGCCACGCCATGGGATCCGTTTCGGACGGGATTCACCGTACGGGAAAGCATGTCAAAACGGGCTTATTCCTCCAATCGAAGCTCCTCCTTTGGCAATCCACTACCGCCAACATCGTCACCAGCCTCTCAAGTCTCCGTCTCTGAGTCTCTCGCCCGAACTTGGTCCCGTTGCCCTTCCGCCCGCTCGAGCCCTCGACGACGGGCTCCCGCCAAGCCAAGTGGCGGTGAGCTAAAGGCCCCCGAGAGCCCTGGAGCTCATCCGCCGCCCTTCCCTTCGCTTCACTCTAATCCCCGTCTACAGCAGCCCCTCACTGAGTGCATTCACATCTCGGGTCTTTTGCGGCATGCTCGACAGGGCTAGCTAGGCGCTGCGGTGCGCCGGTGCCAGCAAATGCAGTATGCGTCGACAGCTGGTGCTGCCGCTGCTGCTGGTAAAAGGGGCTGGAAATCTCGCTTGAATGCTTGCTGCATCCTCAAGCTGGAGATGCAAACGACCTATTGGAGCTCCCCCCAGCTTGATCCCGGGGAAGCTCATGCGACAGCCTTCTGTTTCTGAACCTGAAGTAGCAATTCGATTCACCGCAGCTTTCCGAGCTGCAGACCGTCAAACGCGTCTGTAAGCATGTCCTGACCAGCGCCCTCGTTCCACGGCAGACGGGCAGCCGCGTTGTGCAGGCGTCTACTTCTCCGAAGACAACTTGGGTTAACGAGATGCTCCGACATGGGCGAGAGGATATTAATCTGGGGTTCGCGGGGTACAAGTGGCTTACGGTCACGATACATCGATACGATACTCCTTTGTCCCGGAGGCAATCACACCCCCAGGAACTCTATCCCGGATGGGTGGGAGGGAACAGGCCATTCTCACGCTCTCCGTACATGCGGCATCTCGAAAAATCCCTCATGGCTGGTATGCACCATTATGAAGGATGGTGAAGATGACGGTCTTGTTTATGTACGAACACTCGCGGCTTGCCAATTATCCTTGCAGTCACGCCCTTTGCTGTATTCGTACCAGATACTTTGGCACTGATGGTCAGTTGAGTCTCTATTACATCCTGTACACCATCCGGCCGTCGCAAAGCTCTGCGGCTCAATACTCGGTCAATGGGCTTCGGACACACGGACACGGACGTGGCATATATTGAACTTTTGCGTCTATGGCCGGCCAACACCTAGCCATTTGATGATTTCGTTATCGTCAGAATTTTCCATCTGCATGGAGGTTGCCATCGCCAGGTGGGGAATTGGTCTGCAGCTTCCGACATGATCAGACCTTTTTTTTTTTTTTGGCCATGCCGAACGAGAGAGAGAGCGAGAGCTTATCTCTCCTCTCATGTGGCGAAGAGGGTGATCGCCGTGGGCCCAGATCTTCTAGAAGGGTTCTCCAAACCCCAAGCCCGAGTCGGCGACGTCTGCATCCCTAGTGGGCAGTCTGGCCCCCTCCGTACGATGATCGAATGCCCAGAGAGAAGGAAGCAGCTCAGTCCTTGATGGGCGACGCTTGGCGTTCTGCCCAGAAATGCCACCATTGACCATTCATGGTTCGTCCAGCTTGTCCCTGGCGTGCCCAGCTGAGGGGAATGCCCGACTGGGAGACGGACTTTTGCTGATATATGCCTGCAATTGGGCACTCCATCATTTTTTTGGGGTTTGGCTTGGCTCGTTCGGCGATTCCCATTGCTTGACAGGATGATTCTTCGTGGTGGTGGTAAGTGTGCCAAGCCAAACGTATTTTAAAGTTTTCGTTTGCTTTCCCTAGGGATACTCAATTGCGTGTCCGTTTCTGTTGTGATCTACGTGTAGCCTTTGGTAGATTCAAAGTCATGGCAACCGAAAAGTTATTTACTGCGATGGGTTAAAGTAGCTGCTGGCACGTTTTGGCATGTTGGTTGAGTGAGGTAGCACGGCAAGTCCGACATCGAATCGAGGAGATCAGCAATCCCATACCTTGTCCGAACATGGGCTACCTACTCTGCTGAATCTACATGGACGTCCCTTGGAACAGATCTCCCCCCTTCCGTGTCCCCCGTAGTTCGGACGGAGGTCCAAGGTGGTCAGTCATCGGAGGAATCGAAAGCGAAAAGCGGCGCTCAACATGCACGAGCGGGCTGATTGCGGACTGTGCGTGTTGGGAGGTGGGAGGACGTGCAGACCGGGGTACTTTACTCCGGTTGCCGGAGCTTCTTTTTGCTGTGGTTGTTTGTTGAGGACGGGAGATGGACGGATACGTATGTTCCACCATCCGAGTATGGCTTCCGGTTGTACATGTCCTCGCGCCTTTTTATTCTTTCTCTGCTCCCGAGAAATTTAGGTGGGTGTCTGTCTCGCACGGTGATCTCGGGGTGGAAGGAGGAAAATTGAGCATGGGCTTTGTTTGGAAGGAGTAGCTTTAGAGTGAGCTGTAGCTGTAGCTTGAGGTTCTGGTGTCGGGTGTATCTGTGGCTGCAACTTATAGCTGCAAATGGCAATTCTGATATGCTCGTAGTCGGACGTATACACCCGTATCTTGCGCAGTACTTTCCCCGGTGGTAGCTATTCACATGAATGCCAGCTTCCCAGGCGACAAGGTCATCGCGAGAGTTTTCAGTCGGGACCGCCGCGGGTTTCTCTCCGGCGACGTGGAGTTGAGAGTTGGATGTGGCGTTCTGCGGGCGACCAACTTTGCGGTTCAGGGTTTTTCTGTTGAATGTGCGATTGGGGTGAAAGTTTGGTACTGGACAGCGTAAGAGACGATCGATGATCGCTGGGGCATCTGAGGCTTCCCTGATGAGCATGATTGTCGCGCCTTCTTTCTCTACGGTCTCGTGAGGGAGATATTCGGGGGCCTGGGTGAAGGAGAAGTGGGCACGGGACCAGGCTCTGGTGGGAGTGAGGTCTGGGGTCGGTGATGGATGTGTTCTGTGTTTGGTTTAGTATTTCGCAGAAGGTAGATTGCTTGCGTTGTGAGAGATGATGTGATGAGGGACCTTGTGTAGTCTGGGAGAGGAGATGGGCTTGTTAGACTGATAAGGGGTGTCTCGTTCCTGTTTGCATTGCTATGGGAAGATTCAGTTTAATACTTCATGAGTTGGTATGGAGTGGATGGATGTTGCGTCGTCACTCTCTGCGATCTTTTACTCCAAGGGGAGATACGAGTAGTGAGGCTTAGAGTTTGGGACTCTTGTCTGACGGACATACGTGTCAGGGAACTTACTCCCATGAGCATGTGTGCGCGTCGCTACTGTATGGCTTGAATATGATGTGGGTGTTGACGCCTACGTTGACTGGGTTCTAGGATAGCATTTTATGGGAACATGGTGGCCGTCACAAGAGTTCGTGAGGATGTGGAGGAATACAATGGCGTGAATGGTGTCATGGGTGTAGGGCTCAAGGGCACTGAGATGTTAGTGAAGGTAAGCTTTCACGTGGATTATATCCCCTACGAAGAGCTTCTTGGCCCGTGAGTGAGGTTGAAGGTGTTGATATGTACTCTGTTCCACGTGTCTGTGTACTCCGTTGTCAGAGCATCGCACTTTTGTTATATGGAGCCTTGATACATGAGATAGGCATAAGTCGCCATGAACTTTTGGGTGAATAGTCTACGAGGCAGAGGAGATTTGGATGCGGGCAGCTGGAAGATATCATGAAATGATTCCACGTTCAGCCTCTTCTCTCTCTATTTCTCTTTGCTTCATCCAAGTTCGATATGCTGATATCATCCGAGTTGTGATCGATCTTCAGTCATATTGAAACCAACCCTCGACCTTGTAGTCATTCAACAGCCCCGACTAAACTTCTGCGTTTGAAGCTCACTTGGCTCCTGTTGGTACTGTTGTATTTCCTTTCCCAAGGGTTCCAGGTAACTTACGATATCAAGTAGATGTTTGTTTCGGGGGGGGGGGCGAATGATAGATTATATTCGAGTTGAGCTCTCAGAGTCGTACACTTTGGCTTTAAACCATTGTCGCCCTACAGTCTCAACCTCAAGATCGCTCAGTTTATGCCTGGGCAGCGAATTCTGGGGCAGGTAAGACCGGGCAGTCTTTGGGGAGTCTATCAGTTACGTGTGATGGATGATCCTCGCAGATAGAAGAGTCGCGACCGCTTGTTAGGATCTTCCTCACGACATGACATGGTACTTGACTGGCTCTATCCTCACATTTGACAGTCAACTGTGGTTAAAGAGAATGGGAGGAAGGCTACTTCTGAGTTAACTCCAAACCCCGGCGCGTAAATTCTTCTTTCGTGGTCTCCTGTATAGAAGTAAAGACCAGATTAGCCACATCTCTCCTTCCAGATGTTTAACTGATACCTATGGAATATACTCCAGGTAGTGACTACAAGAGCTGGACAGTATGGCAAGGAGCCTTCTTTAACAATTCTTACCTTCTAAGCAAATAGTGGTTATAGAGAAACGAGACAGGCTCCGAAATACCCTTTTCGCTGCGACATGGAGTTCCTCTAAGGCGCAGGAGAAGTTCACACTTTTGACGAAATTATGATTAGAAAATCTATATTCTTTTTGTAAATGCTTGGGGAGTTTCTAAATCTTACCTCGGGATAGAAACGGAATATTCTTTAATAAGCTTTAGCTATCACTATTTAATCATCTCAGTTATCTCGTTAAACGCCTGCTTGGCAATCGAATGAAGATTGACTAGAAGCGCGCTATTAAAAGCACTCTGTTGCTGTTTTTGAGCATCCTCCTTTGTCTACTTCCCCGCCGAGCTTAGATTAGCAAGATCAGAACCCCAAGCGGCTATTCTGCTCCTCCCCGCCGTTTAGTACCCATCGAATATACTCCAGGCAGTGACGCTTAAAGCCGGATAGAGCAGAGAGCCTCGACGCTTAACTACTGGCATGAGGAAGCAAAAGTATTAATGAAGGACGACTCACGCCCAATGCCATTGCCGCGGGCTGCATCAATACAGATACTTCCCGCGGATGCCCCCGAGTCCATCGTGAGAACCGATCCACGCTGTTGTAGTCTAGAGGTTGACTGGGGAGAGCTGTATTTACACCACCTTTCGTCTTCGTGGGCTGAGGTCCGGGGGATGTGGCCCTAAAGCCCGAGAACGAGTACTGCAAAGGGAGATATTGCAAAGGAATGCGCTTCAAATGCATAGGAAATCTTAACCTTTCAAAAACCCCTGATGCGCCTCTCTCTCGTGATGGAAGAGTACTTCATGTAGGTCCTCTGTTCCAAGTGATTAAGCCAGTTCAAGATGTGGCAACCCGGAAAAGAGAGACTGGAGGCCTTTAGGCATATGGGTCTGATCACTTTACTTCGACGAGTACATCTCAAAGAATGCATTTCGTCACAAGCTTGGGGTTTGAGCCTCCCGTGTGTAGTAACTTCTTCCATTTTTGCATTACTTGATGTTCAGTTCTCTGGCCGTCAGCCACCTCAAGTACTACCACGCCGGTGCCATGGCAAAAACTTCGACAATAGCTCAGCCTCACGGACAGACGAAGCTCGGCAGCGTAGAACAGAACGCGAGAGGTGCCGCGAGGTTACGTTGTAGGAGTATGCAGTTGTAGGTAGATTTCACACCCGTAGAAGGAGGCACCCCGATTCCCCGAGACAACTTCAAATTTCCCCTTTCGCGTCTAAGATAGGTAGAAGATCAATCTGGCGAGAATAATGGGGATATCTTGTTGATGTTAAGCATCCTCCTCTCCCTCCTCAAGCCAATTCCTTCACAAGTGAGCTCTACCCGAGCCTAAACTTCAACCAGATCTCACGTCGTTTGACACAAGCAGTACAGTCTCCATCGCATCTCCAGCAGCCAAGGGGTCTATTCCAAAGATGCGAGGCGCTTATCACTCCATCAAGGCTTAGAACTCACGTCAGGTAAGTACCATCCTATCTATACAGGAATACCAAAATCATATCGTTTCCTCAACGAAGCACCGGCCTAGTTTCCAACATGAATTTTACCTGCTGCGCAACAGGGTAAACGATAGAGATGTCGGTCGAAAGAACGCCCGTCACGCTTCTCATCACACATCCCGTCATGATTCTCATACATCCAAAAAGTAGGTCTCATGAGTGGTATACACACTCCCTGACTTGGATAGAGATAATGCGGATTTTATACCGTCTCGACTTTGTAGTCTACTGAATTCTCGTAAGTCGCCGTTTGTCAAAGTTCCATAATCTAAGTCCCCGTAATCCAATGACATAGGAAAGAAGCCCATCGTCGCCCACCGTTGCCCAAAGACATTCCCATAAGAAAGAGGAAAAGCAAAACTGAGAGAGGAGCAGATGAAAGATCCGCCCGACTATACTCCCATTGTGAAATCGTGCTCGATACCGGGGGTGACGCTGGCCATGAACTACAATAGGTTAGCATCATCATCATCCTTGCAAACTTCTCACAAATGGGGAAACGTACCTTCAAGAAAACAACCAGATACTGATCCACCCGGATCGCAACCTCCTGGTCGTCAACCTCGCTCTGCTCAACTTCTTCCCACTCGCCGTCCTTATCGGCAGCGGCCTGAGCATCCTTGACATCCAGCTTCCCCAGCTCGTCAACGAGCCCCTCCATGCCCTGGTCCCCGCCGACGGCCTTGCCGGCGCGCAGCTTCTCGCGCCGGATGCGCAGCGCCCCGTCGGCGCGGTCGAGCATCGTCTTCATCACGGACGCGTGCTTGCACGGGTGCACGCTCGCCATCTTGATGTTGTTGGCGAAGAAGGGGAAGTCCTCAAGCGTCACTGTCTTGTCCTTGTAGTCGCCCACAATGTCGTCCATCATGGCGTGCGGCGGCAGCGGCTGGCCGTTGGGCGAGTAGCCCGAGAGGTAGAGACGGGGTGTGCGGTAGTACGTTGAGTACATGATGTAGAGGGTGTATGTCCGCCGACCGCTATGAAGCGCGACAGGTTAGCAGACGTCTTCTCAAAATCAAAAACTCCACGTGATACCTACCTGCTCTTTCCGTTGTCTCCCGCATCGCGGATGATGGCCTCGTCGTCATCTTCATCCTCCATATCCGGAATCTCATCGTCATCCTCCACAACCTCGCGGTCTCCCACATTTCCCGAGTCGTCCACCGTCCGCACCTCCTTCACCTTGAGCGGCTGCGAGCTCGCCAGCCCGCCCGTGCGAAGCCAGCCATCTTCATCATCGTCGCCGGCTCCGGAGCTCTTGCCGCCCTCCACAACGGCCTCCTCGTGGCCCGCATCGCCGGCGAAGTCGTCGTCGAGTCGGCGGTTACAGGGGACGTTGCGCGTGACGAGAAACTGCTTCCCGGGGGGCAGGTAGCTGACGCGGCGGCTGTCGGCGTCGGCGTCGCCCCAGGACCAGGTCGGGAACTTGTAGACAAGGTAGTCGCCCGCGGCGATGAACTCTTCGGGGGTGATTTGGCCCGTTTGGCGGAAAGTGGACTTGTGCGATACCGGCGTATACCGGTCGCGGAGTGTGTTGACTGTCGAGTAGAGAAGATTCATCGTTGACGTCGGTCTGTGCTGTACAGGAAAGCTTCGGTATCTCGAGTCGGTGACGCCGTGCGTTCAAAGGTATCGATGGTCTCTAAGTGTATAGTTGCTTTGTGGTGATGCGGTCGTCTGCGAAGGCGTCTACCCTGCTGACGAGAAGGATGTTGTTGGTAAGGGTAAGAAAGACAGCCTAGTCCTCCGCCGACTCTGGGAATGATGTAGTTTGTCGTAGTTCCGCCTGATGTCGATGACTGGGAGTCAAGCTCGTGGCAGCTGTTCAGGGCGATCACATGGATGGCGGGGTTGTCTCACGATTGGACAGGGAAGATGGTGGCGGGGTTGCCGCCTGCCTGCACTGGTGCCGGGAGATCTGCTTATCTTATCGGCCGTTGGAAGCTAAGGTGCTGTACTAATCCCCTACGGCAGACAACAGCTTCCTCAACACAGTTGCGCCATTGAAACCGCTGGAAGGGCACGGATCGCGCTGATCGGAGCTGT